GATTAGCGTCGACGAGAGGAATGAATTCCGGAAATCCGGAAGAAGTGGTTGGTATAGGTGGATCAGGAGCAGCTTCACGTGCATCATTGAGGTCAGGTTCTTCGCTGGCAGCGAGTTCGGCGTCAGTGCTGGCGAATGAACAAACACCGTGGAAAAGTGTAGCAGGGTCACGCTGCGTGGCGAGATACTGTTCGAAGACAGGAAGGGTCAGATTTTTGTAGAAAATACAGTCACGGGCAGGAATTAAAAGGCGACTGCAGTAATCCATGATACGCTAGGCAGAAAACTGCTTCTCAAGGCCGAGATGAAGGCCCCACTTAGCACGTTGATCGGATTTTCCGAGCGGAGCGGTGGGAGGACGATATTGTACGACACACCCAAAAACTCGAAGAAGTTTTGTAGTGCCCAATTTTCCTGTCCACAACAAGTGAGGTGATGTGTTGTTGGGTAGAGCCGATGAAGACAGGAGGTTATGCAACAGTGTTGCATGGTCCATTGCGAAGGGCCAGTAGAGTGGGCCGAGTTGAGATTGGGCGAGTAGTGCTCGCATCTTTTCTTGCAGAGTGCGATTGAGGCGTTCAGCTACACCGCTCTGTTGGTGAGCGTGAGGAAGTGAGAACAGGCGCCGGATGCCTCTTTCTTGCAGGTACGTTGTAAACTCGAGACTGCGATACTCCCCGGCTCCGTCACACTGGAAGGCTTTGAGTTTGGTGTCGGACTCGCATTCTGCGAGAGGCAGCCATGTTCGAAACGTTGTGAAGGCAAGAAAACGGTTAGTCATGTTACCAGTCCAGACGTATCGAGTAGATGCTTCAGTGAACGTGATGACGTATTTCTCGCCATTGAAACCCTCTGCAGGTAAGTTTAAAATATCGCTGTAGACTTTTTTCATCAAGCGATAATCCTCAGCGCCAGGAAAATGAGTCGGGTACGGTTCGTGCGGTAGATTTGCTGCTGGGCAGATCAAGCAGGGTGACGGACGATTGACTGGTTTCATTTCGAGGCCGCCAGGTAAGAGAAGTGAATTCTTGTCGAGAACAGCAGCTTTGATTGTGTTGTTGAGCGTAGATTGCGACGGATGACCAAGACGCTTATGCCATGTGTCTGCAGTAGCTTTGTGTCCCTGTGCACGCAGATAATGATCGGCGTTAGCAAAGAAAGACAACAGCAGCCGATGACCGTCAGCGCGAACATGATCTGTGACAGGTGAGATAAACCTGGTAAGGTTAGGTGGTGGAACTTTTATGTCAACGTCGACGTATTCGTCAGGAGAGAGAACTAACTCCCCACTCTCTTGATCTGATGCTGCAGGTTTAGGCTCAATGCCGACAAGTCGTCCGGAGTCAAGGACTTCCATGTCAGCGACACGCTGCTCTGCTTCAGTGAGAAGACGTCGATCACGATCAGCAGGTGTTTCTCCCCAAGTGGTCTCGTCAGGTTCCTGTGCCCCCCAAGCGCCTTCATCCGTGGGCATATTCGTCGTATCTCCCCAACCACCAACTTGAGCAAGATAGTCGCGGGAGTTCTGAACATCATTCAGGCCTTGATTGTCGAAGGTCAGCATGACAGCGGCAGCCGTGGTTGAAGACGAGGGTACGACTCCTTCACGAGGAACGGTATCATCGGTGTAATCAATGTCATCACGATGTTCCCATGGGCCGAGAGAGAATATTGTCGGAGTTGGCAGTGGTGCGTTCAGGTACGAAGTTGAGAACGAATACACCGTTCTGTTCGATTGCCGTGCCGAGTTTCCTGTCTCCATATTTCAAAGTAAATTTTCCAGGTTCGCCAAGAAGAGTAATCCCATTCCTCATGAGCTGTGCAGATGACATCAGATTGAAGCCAAGTCGAGGAACGAGAAGTACATCGTTAAGGTGAAGACTAAAGTCTTCTTCAACGGAATCAAGAATGATGTTACCCATCCAGTGTGCTGTAAGACGTTGATTGTTGGTGACGGTTACAACGCATAGAGTCTGAAGACGACGCTGATTGATGACGAAGCGGTTTTCTGATGAACACATATGCTGGCCGCAACAACTGTCGAGATACCATGTGTTGGGACCTTCCAAGGTATGTGCAAGATTGGCGTAGACCTCAGGTGGTATGGGCGTTGAAGTTGCTGTGAATACGGTCTTCAGCGTCAAGATCGTAGACGGTAGAAACTGACGTCATGCAATTAATAACTTCTTTCGCTTGTGTCTTAACAGGTGTAGCAGGCGGCTTCGCAGAGTTCGGCTTCGCAGTGTTCTGCTTCGCAGCTTCCGGCTTCGCAGCTTCACCCGAAGAATCTTTGGTGTGTTTCGATGCAGACCGCTTCCAAGATGGTTTATCCTTCGACCAGCAGGTATCGATAGTATGACTTGCTTTGCGACAAAAGGAGCAAACGGGCTTGTGACGTGGAGTAGAATAAAAACTGACTGTGTTGTTTACCACCTTTTTCCCTCCTCGAGCGTTGTGCAGGTCCATATCCTGCTGTTCGGCGATGAGAGCGGCACAGAGTGCCCCCTCAGACAAAGTTGCTTGCATCCGAAGAATAGAGCGACACTGCCGCCATTCTGGTCCAAGACCCGCGAGTAGCACCGTGTGAAACATAGCGTCGGGGAAGTATCCTCCACACTTCTGAAGCTGGTCGCGCAGATTTCGAGCGCGGTTGATATACTGCGTCACCTTCTCGCCGTTTATCATCTGTATATTTGACAGCTGCGTTAAGATTTTACTCTGGTTGACGTTGTCCTTTGCCATGTAAACTCCTTGCAGGTATAACCAAGCTGCTTCAGCAGGAGCGGTACTGGTACAAAAAGGACGAATACCATGCTGTTCAGTCGGTGTCATATTACGAATGAGAACTGTGTATGCAGTCAGCGACGCCGATCGAAAAGTGGCATGTTGAAGTGGTGTGCCGTGAGATGGAAAGGGTGCTGTACCGTCGAACAGTTGCCAGAATCCCGCAGTTTGAACAAGAAGCTCGAATTCGAAACTCCATGTATAGAAGTCTTGACCGTTAAATGGCATTGTCGTTTTAATCTTTGTTGGGTTTGCAGTAGCGGGAAGATAGTTTCCGGTGCCGTCAGCTGACTGTAACTGATAAAGTGATGGCATCTGTGACCCTTGTGGTGCTTGTTGTCCTTGTCCAGCAGGAACAAAAGAGAAGGAGTTATTCGACCCGTCGCTCCCTTGTGGCATTTGTCCATGCTGATAACTGGAGCCATCAAGACTCATAGGAGTTGGAAACATCTGGTTAAGTGACAAGACGGCAGCATTGACACGCTGTTGAAGATTTGTTGACTGGTAAGCACCTTGATATTGATATGGTCCAGTCGGTACAAAACTAGACTGTTGTCCTGGTTGATTAGTAGAACCAGTTACTGCAGCTGCAGCTGTTGTGGCTGCTGATGCCGCTGTTGCTGCGGCTGCTGCCGATGATGCCGCTGCTGCGGCTGTGTGTACGGACTGATTGCTCAGTGGCATGCCGTACATCGGTTGTTGCTGATATTGTTGTTGCTGATATTGTTGTTGCTGCAGATGAGAATTGTCAGCAATTGGAGACGCTGTTGGGCGTGATGGGCTCGTAACAGAAGAGCCGTTGTCGGATCGTGGAGAGCCAGACATAGTTGCAGAGTATGTAGTTGGAAGCTTGTAGAATCCTAAGACGCTGGCAATACCATGTTAGAATTTGAAATGATTGAGTAGGATCGTAATACTTAGGATGGTAGCTTCCTGTCGTAGCGGAAGTCTTGTATGAGTTAAAGCCAGTTATAGAAGGCTTTGTCTGGACTAATAAAAGTCCATGTAGTGATATGTTTCAGGATCAATGTCTCTGAAATCAGATATATTATAAAATGACAAACATACAGAATATATAGCTAGAGTAAAGTACCTATTCGCATACTGTACTGTGCTATTCACGCTATTCGTGTTCTGAAACGGTACGTGACTATTTGCGAGGCCTATAGCTACGTGCTGACGTCATCCTAGGGCGCGTAGCGCTTTGCTTACGTCAGCCTATCGGTACTTCACTATTACGTGCGAAGTCTCGCACTGTACTAACTGTACTACACGAATTCCTTGAAGCGCTTAAGTCTCGATATTATCTCAACAATAACCAAGCAAGCTATAGATGTAGCATGTTTAGCTCTGTTACGAGTGCAATTGAGTGAGCGAGCGAGGATTGCACTATTGAGGCAAGAATACAATGAGCGAAGGATTGAGCGAAGAATATATAGCGAAGCTACAGTGGTAACGGTAACGTGTGGAAAATGGGGTGCGCGACGGGCCTGGTGCCGAGGTTGGGGGACTGTCGAGGCGGAGGTCCGGAGCGCGGGTTACCAATCGAACCGTGAGGTTGGGTCGCATCGTGAACAGTGGCGGGAATGGGGTCGACGCGAATGTCGCGAGTGGTAATGGAATATTGTGGGGTGCTGTTGGCGGGAACAGTGGTGTACGCGCTGAGCAGGGACGCGAAGTAAGGAAAAGGAATTTTCCTTACAAGCTCTTGTTGAAGTCATCTTCATTGTACAATGGTTTTGAGAAGGAAAAGAGTGTTCCAAACAGTTCCCTTATCCAATCCAGCTCCTCTGACGCTTTTTGCAAGGCTGCCAGCATCTCGGTCTGCCATCTGGCTTCCGTCCTTCATCCAGTCAGCATTTACAATCGATCTCAGCCACACCCACACACCATGCCGCTTCGCTAATATGGTTACTCTCTCGCAGATCTCTCGCTCGCTGACACAAACAATCGCTTCTGTCTAAACATCTGCTTTGGATCCTGCCCCACCGCCATTCCTCCACCCCACATGCATCCTGGTCTTTTGGATTCATATCTCCGTGTCTCCAGTCTAATCTGTGACTCGTCTCGCCTGGTCTGGTCTGGACTTCATTTATAACTGCTTGAATTCAGCTAGGCTCGCTGTCAATCTAGCTCCGAAGCACGCCCCTAATTCGAGCTTGATATATTGTGCTCGCATTTTCTCTTTCTATCAGTCCGCATCCCCGTATCGCACGATGGCGGCTATCAGCTCCATCGCAGCTGCTGCCATGGCTGCCTCGAGCGCGCCGATGGCTGCACTCACGCGGACTGTAATGAGCTCGCCGCTCGCGTCGTCGATGCTTCCTATCGCCAATTCGCTGCCTTCAGCTGGCCTCTCCGCCGCTCACGCACCTCAGCAGCTGCAGTGCCAGGACCGCGCGAGCAATGTCGGTCGGAGGAGCGTCGCGACACCCGCCAAGTCCACGTGGGTTGCCTTGCAGATTAGCTGGACATATAGAAATTTATCAAGACGCTTTTATCGTGGACCTGGAGTTTCGTGAGTCGCTGTCTCACGAAATAGATGGAAGGCAAAAAAAAAACAGGATTACACAATAGCGTAAATACTCAACCAGCCTACTATTCTAAACGAGCCAGTGAGGTGGTCAGGCCTGACCATTAAAGTGAGCTCTCTGGTCAGCCTCGTTGCTATTAGCTGTGAGAGAGGTCTGTTTCAGTGGAATGAACACAGGCTCGACAGGCATGGCCAGGAATGTGCCTTGTGAGTCGACTCGAAGTCGCTTCCGTTCAGGCGAGTGGACACAGGCACGCGAACATAGACTCAACAAGCATGGCCAGGAGTGTCACAGCTCCTTGCGGTCTGTCACTGAGCCTGTTGTCAGCCGACTTGCATTGCATGTCCCAACCTGCCGCAGTACAACATTCGTCTGAGTTTCGATTCGACTCAAAGTCCACTCCGCAGCGTGTAACGATGTACCATTCTTGCTGACGGGCTGGCCTGGTTGGTTCTACTCTAGCGGTTCAGATATCCCAATCCTCCCGACATTGTCCAGCCATGGTGTTCACCGTGCCGTCGCCGCCTCTTACTTCCTTCTCACGCTCGCCTTCCCGCTTTCCCCCTTCCTTTCTCCCCCACCCGGCCCCGCCGCCGCTCTCCTCCCCTCCCCACACCCCCTCCCTCGACCCTCCCCCGCGTGCTCCGCGCGTGCTCCGCGCATCAGCGCGGCGGAGGCGCCGCTGGACGTGCGCGCGTTCAAGGCGGAGCACGGGGAGGCGGAGCTGGAGACGGACCCGGCGCGGCTGTGGGAGCGGTACGTGGCGTGGCTCTACAAGGACGAAGCGCTGGGACTGGAGCTCGACATCAGCCGCATGGGCGTCACGGACGCGTTTGTCCAAGCCATGGAGCCCAAGGTTAGTTGTGAGTGAGACGATGAGCCCCCCTGACGGGGTTGTGAAGAGTGGTAGCAACCCTCTGTGCGGTGTGCGAGGCGGGAGCGCCTATGGGTGCTGTACGTGGCTAATAGGGAGGGAGCTGTACGTGGCGTGGCTGTACAAGCACAAGCACCTGGGGCTCGAGCTCGACGTCAGCCGCATGGGTGTCACGGACGCTTTCGCAGAAGTCATGGAGCCCAAGGTGAGACGCGAGGCGAGGCGAGGCGGCAAGGCTTCCGTGAGATGCGAGGCAAAGGCTCCTTGACGCATTCATAGGTTGAGCGGCGCATTGCCAGTGGTGACCCATGCACTCCCTTCCAACCTCTTCCCTCCCCCCACCCCTCCACCCGACCTTCTCCCACGCTCTCCCCCCGGCTGTTCCCACCTTCCGTCATCCCTCTCCCCGCTGTCTGCAGTTCGCGGCGGCCTTCAAGGCGATGGTCGAGCTGGAGAGGGGCGCCATGTCGAACCCAGACGAGCGGCGCATGGTGGGGCACTTCTGGCTGCGCCACCACCTTCCAATCCCTTCCCTCCCCTTCTTCCTCCTCCCCCTATTCTTCCCCCTTCCCTCCCTCTTCCGCTATCTCCCTCTCCCTCCCCTCTCCCCTCCTCGCCTCCTCCCCTCCTCCCCTCCTCCCCTCCTCCCCTCCTCCCCTCCTCCCCTCCTCCCCCTCTCCCCTCCCCCTCACTCGCCAGTTCGCAGCAGCCTTCAAGGTGATGGACGAGTTGGAAAGGGGCGTGATATCGAACCCGGACGAGCGGCGCATGGTGGGGCACTACTGGCCACTGTGGTCCGTACCCCTCGCCCTTCCCTCCCACTACCCCCAAATTCCCCCCCCCCCTTTTGTCCTCTCCCACTCCGGCCCCCTCCCGCGCTCGCCAGTTCGCGGCGGCGTTCAAGGCGATGGACGAGTTGGAGAAGGGCGCGATCTCAAACCCGGACGAGCGGCGCATGGTGGGGCACTACTGGCTGCGCAAGCCGCAGATCGCCGCCAGCCCCACACTCAGGAAGGAGATTGAGGAGACCATTGACGCCGTTGACGCTTTCGCCACTGCCGTTGTCAATGGCACGGTGCGTTGGAGTGGGGTGGGGAAGAGAGGCGGCAGACGGAGGTGGGACGGTCTGGAAGGGTTGGGAGGGGTTGGGAACTCCCGTTTCGCCTTCTCGCCCCGTGCTCCATGCACTTCCTCCCTTCTCCTCTCCTCTCACCTTCCTGTTTGTGATCTCCTTTCTGCCATCTCCCCCCTTTCCCCCTCTCTCACCCCGATCAAATCCCCCATTACACACAATCAACAGATAAAGCCTCCCCCATGCCCAGCTGGCCGGTTCACTCAGGTGCTATCTGTGGGCATTGGAGGCTCGGCGCTCGGCCCTCAATTCGTCTCCGAGGCTCTCGCAGGCACCAATCCTCCGCTCCAGGTACGGTGCCAAGCCAGAGCCACAATTGTACGACAGGGTCCGGGTGGGTGGGTGGGTGAGTGGATAGGTGCGTGGGTGGGTGGGGGGGTGTGGGGGTGAGGGGGTGGAGGGGTGGGTGGGCCATAAGGGCGATCAAGAGAAGCAGACACGGTGCCAAGCAAGCGAAACATCCACTCTGCCTTATCAAGCCTACAGTGACAACAAACTAATGTTATTCTCATAAGTGATACAAGCAGGTCCTAACAGTACCATGACAACCAACAACAGCACATCCCCATCCCCCGCCTCGCTTCTCGGCGTGTTTGTCCCCAGCACAGAGATGGGGTGCGTGGGTTCAATCACGTTGAGAAACAGCCAGACTCGAAAAAGAAGGCCGTCTGGCCGTTCTTCCTCCCAACGCTCCTTGCAGCTGTCCCCCGCCGCTGGCAGGCACAGACCGCCAGCTACTGCTCTCTTCCTCACGCCCCGGTCAACCGTCCCCCCTCTCCACCCCCTCTCCACTCCTTCTCCTCCCCCTTTCATCAGGTGCGGTTTGTGGACAACACAGATCCGGCGGGCATCGACCGGCAGCTGGACCAGATCGGAGCAGAGCTCTCCTCCACGCTCGTGCTCGTCATCTCCAAGGTGCCCTCCTGCCCTCTGCCCTCCCCGTCCCTCTTGGTTGTGGTGAGACGTCTCTATGCAGTGCAATTCTCACATAGCAATGATAGCATAGCGCATCTCTCCTCCATGCTACTGCTCCTCATCTCCACCAAGGTGGCCCCCCACTGCTCCATTACAGGAGCGGCGGCACACTGGAAACACGCCACGGGCTGCTGCTGGAGGTGCAGAGGGTGTTCCTGCTCTTCCATCGCTTTGTCCTGCGCTCTTTTCCCCAACCACCCCCCCGCATTACAAGGGGGGGGCACACCGGAAACACGCAAGAAGGGGCTGAACTACCAGAGCGGTGGTACACCCGAGACACGCAACGGGTTGCTGGAGGTGCAGAGGGTGTTTCGTGAGAAGGGGCTGGACTTGCTCACCCCATGACATGTTTCTCCCTTTCTCACCAACATTACACTTTGCGTCCCCACCCCCCCTCAACTACCAGAGCGGTGGCACACCCGAGACACGCAACGGGTTGCTGGAGGTGCAGAGGGTCTTTCGTGAGAAGGGGCTGGACTTTGCCCGTCAGGGGGTGGCGATCACACAGAGGGGGTCACTGCTGGACGACACCGCTCGCATGGAGGGGTGGCTCGCGCGCTTCCCCATGTTTGACTGGATCGGCGGGAGGACTTCGGAGGTGTCTGCTGTGGGCCTGCTGCCTGCCGCCCTGCAGGTGCGTGACTCCCCTTGCCTTGGGTGCTGGAGGCATGGAGGAATGGCTCGCGCGCTTCCCCATGTTTGACTGGAGACGCACCTCCGAAGTCTCGGCTATCGGCTTGCTGCCTGCTGCCCTGCAGGTGCGTCCCTCGCCTTGGGGGCTGCGTCTCTTGCCTTGGGGGCTGCGTCTCTTGCCTTGGGGGCTGCGTCTCTTGTCTTGGGGGCTGCGTCTCTTGCCTTGGGGGCTGCGTCTCTTGCCTTCGGGGCTGCGTCTCTTGCCTTGGGGGCTGCGTCTCTTGCCTTGGGGGCTGCGTCTCTTGCCTTGGGGGCTGCGTCTCTTGCCTTGGGGGCTGCCACGTGCTCTATTGCTGACAGATGATGACGAGGCTTTTGCCTCCATGTCTCTGTCTATTCTGTGCATTCATGTTAGATCTGTATGTATGAGCATGTGCATGTACGCGTCTGCATGCCCGTGCATCTTTATCCGTTATTACGAGCAATCCTGATTCCAGTTCTCTTCTATCCTTGCTGCTGTTTATGTGCGTGTGTTCAACCATGGGCACTCACTTCCACCCATCTGTACTCATCTGCACCAATCTGTCCCCATATGCCCCATGTGCCCCCATATGCCCCCAATGTGCCCCCACATGCCCCATGTGCCCCCATATGCCCCCAATGTGCCCCCACATGCCCCATGTGCCCCCATATGCCCCCAATGTGCCCCCACATGCCCCATGTGCCCCCACCTGTATCAGGGCATCAACATCCGTGAGATGCTGCGAGGAGCGGGCGCCATGGATGAGGCAACGCGCGTTCACAAGGTCAGCACAAGCCATGCCATGCCATGCCATGCCATGCCATGATGTGACCTGCCATGTCACGTCCTGCCATGTTGTGTTGTGACATGTCAACTAGTTCAATGCTCACGTCGTCCATAACACCCGTTCATACTCCTTAACACTCATCATGCCCCATCATACCCATTAACATCCCTTCATGCCACCCCTTCATGCGCCTTAACACCCTCCATGCCTCCTCAGTCGCATCTCCCCGTCGTTGCTGTCACCTCTTCCCGTCGTTGCTGTCACCTCTTCAACCCCTTCCTTCACGTCTTCCTCCTCCCTCACTCCCTCTAACGCACCCCGCCTCCCGCCTCCCCTTCCATTCCCCTCATCCCCCATATCTCTCCATCCCTACTCTCCCTGCTCACCCTGCTTCTCGCCTGTGTCAGATCCGCAGCAACCCAGCGGCTCTCCTGGCGCTCTGCTGGTACTGGGGGTGTGATGGCATCGGCTCCAAGGTCAGCCCTGCCTCTCCACGAGACCCTGCATCTCACTTTGTGTTTCAGTTTGGCTGTCAGTCTGCGGCTTCTCAGTTCACGTCTCGCCTTGCACGTCACATTCTGTTCATTACCTCTCCACCGCCCCTGCACCACCCCTCCACCGCCCCTGCACCACCCCTCCACCGCCCCTGCACCACCCCTCCACCGCCCCTGCACCACCCCTCCACCGCCCCTGCACCACCCCTCCACCGCCCCTGCACCACCCCTCCACCGCCCCTGCACCACCCCTCCACCGCCCCTGCACCACCCCTCCACCGCCCCTGCACCACCCCTCCACCGCCCCTGCACCACCCCTCCACCGCCCCTGCACCACCCCTCCACCGCCCCTGCACCACCCCTCCACCGCCCCTGCACCACCCCTCCACCGCCCCTGCACCACCCCTCCACCGCCCCTGCACCACCCCTCCACCGCCCCTGCACCACCCCTCCACCGCCCCTGCACCACCCCTCCACCGCCCCTGCACCACCCCTCCACCACCCCTCCACCACCCCTCCACCACCCCTCCACCACCCTCCACCACCCCTCCACCACCCCTCCACCACCCCTCCACCACCCTCCACCACCCCTCCACCACCCCTCCACCACCCCTCCACCACCCTCCACCACCCCTCCGCCACCCCTCCACCACCCTCCACCACCCCTCCACCACCCCTCCGCCACCCCTCCACCACCCTCCACCACCCCTCCACCACCCTCCACCACCCCTGCGCACCACGCCTTGCAACCCGTCTGTAACCCCTCTGCTCCCCCCGCACACCGCTCTGCACCGCACAGGACATGGTGGTGCTACCGTACAAGGACAGCCTGCTGCTCTTCAGCCGCTACCTGCAGCAGCTGATCATGGAGTCGGTGGGCAAAGAGTTCGACCTTGATGGCAAGCGGGTGAGTGCTTCTCTATTGAGGTGATTCAAGGGTTTACTTCTTGACAGCCCACCTGCAGGCTGCAGCAGCTCATCATGGAGTCCGTGGGGAAAAAGTTTGACCTTGATGGCAAGCGGGTGAGTGCTTGGCTGTGGAGGCGATTCAAGTGTTGAGTTGTTGAGACCCTAACTGCAGCAGCTGATTATGGCGTTAATTGGCAAGGACGTCTCTGTGCTCTCTGCTCTCTGCTTGCACTGCTGAACCAGGGCCTCACTGTCACCGCACCTCTCTCAACCGCATTCCACACCTTGCACGTTGGCTCTGTGTGTGTGTGTGTGTGTGTGTGTGTGTGTGTGTGTGTGTGTGTGTGTGTGTGCGTGCGTGCGTGCGTGCGTGCGTGCGTGCGTGCGTGCGTGCGTGCACCCACAGGTGAACCAGGGGCTGACGGTGTATGGCAACAAGGGCAGCACAGACCAGCACGCGTGAGTTCCTGCAGCACCCGGATGGGTGGGAGTGGATGGCGATGGGTGGGTGGGGATGGGTGGGTGGGATTGGCTGTTTGGCTGGTGGGTGGGATGGGATGGTGCAGGTACATCCCCCATCCAGCGAATCCTTTCCCCTTCCCCCCTCTAACCCCTTTCGCCTGTTCCCCAACTCCACCCCTCCCCTCCTTCTTCCCCCCCCAACAGCTACATCCAGCAGCTGAGGGAGGGTGTGCCCAACTTCTTTGCCACGTTCATCGAGGTGCTCACGGACCGGCAGAGCGGGCGCGACTGGGAGCTGGAGCCAGGAGTCACATGTGGTGACTACCTCTTCGGGCTGCTGCAGGTGGGGAGGGCTGGAAAAAGGTGATGGGCAGGGGGGAAGGGTGCATGTAAGCATGAGGTTTAGGTGCTCATGGCGAGCATCGTTGGGAGCTGGAGCCGGGGGTCACGTGCGGGGACTACCTCTTTGGGCTGCTGCAGGTGGGGCGAGGGGTTGGGGATGGGGAAAGGGTGCATGTGGGGAGTGCGGAAAGGAGGGGTACTGTGAGATGCGGGTGAGGGGCGGGGGTCACAGACTGGCAGAGTGGCAGGGTCTGGGAGCTAAGGGGAGTTGGGGGAGGGGAGGGAGAGGGTGTGGGGGGTGTCACGTGCAGGGACTACCTCTTTAAACTGCTGCAGGTGCGGTAACGGGCGAGGTGGAGGGAGGGGGAAGGGAAAGGGGAATGGGAGGAGGATGGGGAGGGGTAAGGGGAGGGGAAGGGGACGGGGATGCAATGCGAGGTCACACCAAGTTCACCCTTCTTCCCCTCACGAGTCCATCACGCTGACCAAGGATGGGACGTGGATGCTCGTTCATTCCCCACCTTCCCCTGCCTTACCCTCTCCTCCTGCCGCTTTGCACCTCCCACAAACCCTCCCCTCAGGGCACACGCTCTGCTTTGTATGCCAACAAGCGCGAGTCCATCACGCTGACCATCAAGGACGTGGATGCAGCAACGGTGGGCGCCATCATTGCTCTCTACGAGCGCGCCACAGGGCTGTACGCCTCACTCATCAACGTCAACGCGTACCACCAACCAGGTGCGTGTGCCTCATGTTTGCCTTTCCCCCATGCGCCATGATAGCCCCATGCCCCATGCCCCGTCGCTCTATATGAGTGCCCCACAGGGCTGTATGCCTCGCTCATCAACATCAACGCGTACCACCAACCAGTGCGTGCTTGATATGTTCGCCTCATGCCCCATGCTCCATGTCCCATCCGCCATGCCCCATGCCCAATGCCCCTTACCCCACATGCCATGCCTCATAACCCATAACCAATGCCCCATGCCCCATGCCGCATGCCCCATGCCGCATGCCGCATGCCGCGTGCCTTCAATGCATTGCCATGCCGACAGGAGTGGAGGCGGGAAAGAAGGCAGCAGCAGAGGTGCTGACGCTGCAGAAGAGAGTGCAGGCAGTGATCAATGACGCGAGGTGAGAGGGCACGCTGTGAGAGGGCACGCTGTGAGAGGGCACGCTGTGAGAGGGCACGCTGTGAGAGGGCTGGTGCCCTGTGGGTTGGTTGGAGGGAGAGAATGCAGCTGGGGATAGGACGAGGGAGGGCTGTTTTTTGGGGTGGAGGGGGGGTGGGGGGAGGGGGGGGGGTTAATCAAAGGGTGTGTGCAATTATCCTGTGACTCATCTGTGGCTGCAACCCACAGCTCGCACACTGGCCTGTTTACTCTCATGTCTGTTCATCCTCACTCTCTCCCTCACTCGCTTTTTATCTCCACTGTTGCCCATGGTTACCACACATTCCCCACGCATTTACCTACTCTGAATCTCCATGAGGCCTCAAGGCTTTCACTCACGTTTGATCTCGTTGCGATTCTCACACTTGCCTTTGCCACACTCGTGTTTGTGTTCTCAGCTGCAGGCACCCGGTGAAAGCTCTTACCATCCAGCAGCAGTCCTTGGGACTGTCACTCACTCTTGTCTCGTGTTTCCCGTGCTTGACTTTGCCACACTCGTGTTTCTGTTCTCAGCTGCAGGCACCCAGTGGAAGCTCTTACCATCCAGGAGATTGCCGAGCGTGCTCATGCACAGGCGCAGGTGAGAGTGCAAGGGCAGAGGCGCAGGTTAAGGTGCAAGGGCAGAGGAGTGGGTGACAGTATACAGGTGAGAGGGCAGATGCTGAAATAGAGAATTGGGAGTTCAGAGTGAATATGGTGAGTGTGCATATGCATTCCTTGGTTTTACAGGTAGCAGCATAACAAAGGCATTTGCCATACATAGTGGGGGGCATGCATCACACAATGCATGTAATGGCACATATCACATTCAACAGCATGGCAATCAGGCATGCTGAGCACATCAGCTCCTTCAGGTGGTTTGGGTTCGCACGTGGCATCAGCATATTAGTTCTTGTCTGTTCTCAGTTGTCTCGCTGAAGGGTGTCCTCCACTTCTATGCTTCACTCAAATTGGCCATCTTCTGCCTTTGCTTCTGGTCACTCCATTGCGATCCCTTGCTTTCAGATTGAGACAATGTACAAGATCATCCGCCACATGGCAGCCAATGACAGGGCAATCATGATGGGATCTGACATCAACACACTCACGGTGATTGCGGAAGAATGCCCTCCGGACTTGTAGCCTTAAGGAATTTGTGCAATTCATTAGGCGCTCTTGTGCATGACTCCAGTGCTGGTTGTTAGGTCTTACCCTGGTCAGCTTGAAGGTTGAGGTTTGGCCTTTTTTGCAAACTCGTTTTGAAGCATGTCCAATCATAGTATTTACTATCCAAGAGCTCCATGCATGCCTACCCTTGTGAAACATTTTGCGGCCCAGGGTTCATTGTGCTATGGCTACCGTGCCTACCACTAAGCATATCAGTATGTAGATATGATAATGGCCTGGTTGGCAGGGCTATTTAGTGCTCTTGGTTAAGAGCTGGTGACTAGCTAGCTCTTTATTGATGTCCATAAGATTGGTCGTCAAAACGATCTTAGAATGAATGGGAGTACATAGTAAGCTACTTTTCTTTTCACGCAGTGGCTTGTTTCAAGAAAGCAATCAGATCCGCTCTCTCCTGGGGTTTCTTCAGACCTGGGAAGACCATCTTTGTGCCGGGAATGTACTGCGGGGGACAAACGATGGATGATAGGGTAGAAACACATGGGGCTCGGGTTCGATCCACGGATCTCAAGACGTAAAGAGCACTGCAAGCTAAAACGAAAGAGGTCATCTCACAAACAGAAGCCTACCTTCTTAGGGTTCAAAAGGTAGTCGTAAAGGGTCTCCTCTCCCCACAGAACTGCAGCGTTCTTGTTGGCATTTGAGTACGAGTAACCCTCGATGGTTCCAGACTGCCTGCCGAAAAGCCCGGCCAGGTTCGGACCTGCGATCGAAAATGCCACGATGGCTCGCGTAAGACTCGCGAATGACCGACTAAGGTCAAGCTATTCGTTGCTTAACCAATGTCCTACCTTGCTTGTGACCACCACCCTTCTCTGCCACGTGGCACTGAGCACACTTGGTCTTGAAGATCTTAGCTCCAGCATCGGGGTTACCAGCAGGAGCTTCTGCGAAAGTAGCCATGGCTGAAAATACTTCGCAACGAGGATCAAACCAACAAAGAGCGAAGCACGACACCGCCTGACTTAGATCCCAGGAAGCAACAATGCCCCACAGCGGACGGGTTGGTGAGTGGCACACGGAAAGGGAGAAAATGCTTGTGAAGGGGAGGATGCGTTGGGGAGGATGTGTTGTGATCCTCGTTTGAAGCACGTGTTGTTCAGCCCAGTTGGGCTCAACCTTACAGCTCATCAAGAGAGGAAGGATCTGTTCTTCCTACGCCAGGGCCAAAGGCCCAGTAGCTGGGAGCAAAAGGGCGAAATGGTCCCACAGGAGCTGGAATCGAGGTGCTGCTGGCCGTCCGATGAAACGAAAGTCTCCCACAAACCTGATTGGCAAACCACGTACCCCAAGTTTGCGGCGGAGCTTTGCCAGCGAAGCAGGCGGCGAAGTTTCAATTCACATCGTCCAATAGAAGACAAGTGCGCAGGGACTCGCTATTACAGCGGTTTTATTAAATGTTATTGTAATGAGTTATCAAAGAGTGCAGAATTAGCACAAGTCAAAGCCCCCTTACAGAAAGTACAGACCCACCAAGCAAGGGAGAATTCCTTAGTGCGTGTAACATTTTCATTTTTTTTTTTCCAAACGAATCGCACCGCCTGAACGGCTGAAAGAGGTCCATTTGTTAAACGCTTTGTTCGAGTGGGTTTCAATACGTTTCAGAGCGCTTATCTTCCGAACCATACATTCGTTCGGAAAAAAAAAAAAGCGAAATGTTACACGCCCTTATATTGAAGAATCTAAACCCTGCACGTCGTAAAGACTCAGCATACAAGAATCAGCTTGTCTATGTTAATGTACAAGATTTTTTATTAGCTAGCTAGTATGGAACAAAGGGCAGTCATGATAAGAAACAAAAAGATTTAGAGAATCAAGGAAGAGGACTGTCAGCGGGGAAATAGGTACAGTTCCACGTGTACTGATAGTTGGCGTAGATGCACTGGCGGGGATTGGCCGACCAGCAGGATGAGGGGGCCTTGCATGAGCCAGCACCACAAGAATTGGCACTGCAGCACATGCACTGGCTGTAACAGGAGTTGTAGTTGTTGGTCCGTTGAGCGGTTGTACCCCCGAGCGTAGCTGCAGTATCAGTGCACGACTGATCACAAGCGTTCCTCCTGTACGTGCAGCAGGGACCCGTGACATTGCCAACTATAATTGAGCAATCCGAAGGAGCCTCAAACGGCCATGACGGGTACGGGCAGATGGACTGGGTACAGCCGTAGCCAGAGAGAGGAGCTAGGCCCATGCGGTTGAAGCACGCGCTGACACAACCGCCGACACACGGTACATCCGAGATGAGCGGGACGGCGTAGTTACACAGCGCATCGCAGTAGGATGGGTAAGTCACCATGTCAGCCCCGCAAACTTGGAGAGACGTTGCGCAGCCGCAATCGATTATACCAATGCGACCAATACAGGGGATGATCAGCTGCGTGCCAGGAACAAGCGGAGCCGATGCGTTCGCGATGAAATTTGCAGCTGCGATGTTGACAGGTGAAATGGAGGTGGACGTGCAGCGGGGGGCGTAGATGGAGGAGATATCGGCAAGGGTTTCGTCGGCCCGGACGGTGTACATGGAGTAGGATACATTGGGAGCTCGTTGCATGGTGGCGAGGATGGGTGAGTCAATGCAGACTTGCTGGCCGATGCCAAAGTAGGGGGCCTGGCACTGCAAAGGGGAGATGAAACAGCAAGGGAGAGTGAGGTGAGGAGGCTGGCACCAGTATGGGGTGGTACTGGGGGTTGTGGCCGACAGTATGTGTCCGTTTGGGGTGGTACAGAGCGGTATGTGCTTGTATGGGGATGGTATGGTGTAATATGTGGCTTCAGAGAAAGAAGTACCTGGATGCCCGGGTTTGGGGCGATATGCGAAACTTCAAGGAAGTTACCTGGATGCCCGGGTTGATGGAGAGGAACATGGACATGGTGAGGTTGGCTGCATTCCAGATGGAGGGGCATGTGTCGCCCTGCATCACCCGGTACCACCCCGTGCAGTTGATGCTGGTCTGCACACAGGCAAACGAAAATTGGTGGGAAGAGAGGGAGACAGAGATGAGACGGAGAAGAGGAAATGCAAAACAGGAGATAGCCAAACCAGATGATAGGCCAAGAGGAGATGATAGAGGAAAGCAGTTTGGTGTTGGTGGTGATGCTGATATTTGATACTTACAGCGGATGATTTGGGTGCCACACAAACATAACTCCCGACAATGAGGGGGTTGTTGCAGTTGACTCCTGGGTTGAGGCTGCAGAGAAGCAAAGGAAAGGAAGAAAGTCAAGTTGAAAATAGGCGTGGGAGGGAGAGGGAAGTACATCGAAGACTGAATAAAAGAACAAGGGCAAATGATCCGAACTTACGTTACAAAAGACGACGTGCTAATGACGTATTTAGTGGAGAGCGAAGCGCACGTGTCCCCCATGGCCACTGCGACACTTTGCCCACATTGTGTAGCCGAAGATGTAGAAGATGCCGAAATCATTTGAAGACATACTTGTTGCGACTTAAACAGGCGCTTGCACGATAGGCCGGGATTGATTGCAGCGAGTGCAGTCAGTGAGCCATTGAAGGAAGCGTTCGCGATTGACGAACAGGTATCGGAAGGACGGACGGTGTATGTGTTTGTGCAATATGAGGATAGGGAGGTGACTACTCCCGATACTGTAAGAGCAATTCCGGGAGGGAGGTACTCTGTAACGGAGCAGTTAATGAAAGTGTTCAGGTTCGTCAGCGTGGTGGTCGAAATGCCGAACGATGTCGCGACTGTGGTGCAGTTGTCGCCAGGCAGGGTTACATAAGACTTCGCGAGTCCAGCCGCAGGCATGCACGTTGGCGAACCGTCGACAGCAGCGCCGATGGCGTAACCCGTAGTGCACAAGCACGTGTACGTCCCGTCGCCCACATCCGAGCACGTTCCGCCGCCGCAGGGATTCACGGGAGCCGTCGTGCAGGGACTTCGCGGCACGCACTTGGACGTGGGCACTCCCAACATCTCAACCATATTCGCCATCGCGCTGCAGTTGCACCGCGGAACTCCGCCGCTCATGTAGCAACTGCCCCCGCCGCATGGGTTGATCATCCCCGCGCACGTCGTACTCGTGGTCGTCTTGATCGTAGACGAATCAGTGGTACCAATGAGCAGTGAGGAAGAGTCGGTAATCGTCGGGTCGCTGAACGACGCAAGTGTGGTGGTACCACCGGAAGTAGTGGTGGTTGTGGTGGTGGTGGTGGTGGTTGAAAGGGAGAGGGTAGAGGAGAAGAGCGACGACGAGAGGTCGTCCACTTTGTTGATTTTCCAATTGCCGCGCTTGTCGGAGGAGAACCGCGCCGGCTGCATCCCGGAGGGGAAGTAGACGGGGTACATGGCGGGGGTTCTGCGCAGAAAAGAGGGAAGATGCATGGCACGGGGGAGGTGAGCGAACAAGACGCAGACGCGGAGCAAAAGGAGTGATCCAGAAAATGCTGCTGAAAACGGCAAGCGGGGTCTACGAGGAGGAGATAGGAGCACAGGTAACAACGAGAAAACGGAATGCGAGCCTTCATGAAGGTCACGCGCTGACTTTCGCCGCGCAAACCACGGCAGACTCCAGAAGAAGAAGGAACGGGAGCGTAGCACTTACGAAAGCAGCCCGCATTTCCCGCGCACGTCGGGCGTCATGGCGAGGTACATGTAGCCGTGGTCTCCCCACGTTTCGAACCACGAGTTCTTTAGTATCCAGTAGCTGCCGACGAGGCTAGGGCCCGTGTAGTTAAAGCCCACCACCACCACGGCGTGGTTCACCTCCCTCGTGCACAGCCCGTTGTAAATGTTGAGCACGTCGCGGCTCTTGTACATCTGCGGCAGCCAAGGACGAGAAACAACGGGAGTAAGGAGTGAGTCGAGTCCAGGAGAGTGGCAACGGGGAGGTCCCAAAGCCAAGAACGAAGATTGGGAGGAAATGGTTCAACTATTGATGGCGGAACAAAGAAACCGTTAGAGGTGTGGTTCAGGGGACGGCATTCGGTAAAATCCCTTCCGTTGGCGATGGCAGCGGTCCGCGGAAAAGCGTTGACGTGCTGAACAAGTGGAGCGAGGGACCCCAGGAGACTCCGTCGAAGGAATGAAAAAGGCGGAACCGAATCAGAGTACAGAGAAATTTGAGAGGCGGAACGGGGGTAGATGTAAACGCAGAGAGAAAAGGAACCGGGGAGCGTACCACAAAGTCTGTGGACGACGCGCTAAGGAACGCGACGACGGGCTGCTTCGTCACAGCCTTCATGAGCGCCATGGGGTTGAATGCCGGCACCAGCTCCCACCCCGTGATCTGCGCCGTGGACGGCATGGTAGTGTCTAGCAGACACGTGGCGGAATCGTAGGCGAGGTAGGGGTAGTTGGCGTTGGATGTGACGCCGCCGTTGAAGAGCACGTACGAGAAGGCCCACTCGGGCCACCCGCCCTGGCAGCACTGCTTCGTCGCGCAGTCGCACACCTGCTGCGGCGACAGCTGTTCTGCGACGGCGTTGTTGGCAATGGACCACATCATGGCGACGGAATCGATGGCTGCGATCGCCCAGCAACTTGAGCACTGCGAAAAGAATGAGAAGGGAGACGGAGAAGTTCCGTGAGGTCTGCCGTCATACGTAACTTCGACGCAAAGAAAATATCGAAGAGCCGCGTCCGCAAATCAACGGTTGACAGATGCAACTCCGGAATCCGAGTACGTTAACTTATGGTGATGCAAGAAACAGCTAAGTAGGACAGGAAGTCTGAATGAGGACGCTAAGGTGAAAACGGTAAGGTCGCACCAAGCGGCAGTGGCGTTGTAAATCACCCACCTGAAACTGCGTCTGGATGGGCGTAATGGAAGTAGTCGTGCGCCAGTCCACGACGGGCGGCGGCGTGACGCTCTCCCAGCGGTAGAACGACATGTTCACCGTCGCCATGCTCGGCCCCGAGTTAAGCGGCGGCGCCGACAGACCGAGCTTCGTCGCCGTGTCGAGCAGCAGGCGGTCATGGCGTTCTTCGACATTGTCGGAGTCGCTCTCAGTGCTCTGCGCGTCCGACGCGAGAGTGTCTTCCCTTAGAATGCGCGAGCCCTTCTCGTGTCGCGTGAGACCACTGAACTGTGAGACATATGAAGCTGGCGAGCCGTCTGCCAACAATACTGTGTTGATTATGAGAAGTAAAAGGACGGGCGAGACAAGATAGCTGCGGCCCATTTCTTACACTCTGCTAAGATAGGAGATTTCACAGATGAGGTCAACACATTCGAATGCACGTACTTCCGAAGGATCCTAGTAGCTTTCACTCGTACCACTGGCTGGGTGAATGTGGAAATGCTCGTTTTGGAAATGCATCAATGGGGACTTGGAGGGGGTGGGGTTGGTGTGCTTTTCAGGAGGCTCTAAGGTACAATACAGAGGACTCCCGTTACACTATGCCTTGCTACCTACCACTCCCCTTGACTGTGGCTGGGGAGAGGAGGTGGTGGTAACTTGGTAAGTTGGAAGTCTGTTGGTCGTTACGTTATCCTGAAAGCTGGCTTGCTTTCCCACGTGAATGCTGCCCCGCCCCGCTCGCGCACTAAAGCCGAGGTTGTTGGGGGTGTTGTTGTTGTGTTGTGTGGGTGTTGGTTGGGGGCACGGGTGGTGCGGGAGGGGTGGGGGGAAGCAAGCGCATGTGCTTGGTCTGAACCGAAGTGCGCGCAACCGATGTTTGGTCTGGTCTGTTTCAAAAGACAGAAACCGAACTGCCAAGCAGCATGTCTTGTCGCGCTATCAGCCAAACCTGATGGGCATGTCGCGCTGCCCTGACGAGGAACCTGAACCAATTTTCGTATTTTTGCTCTGTTCCGTCCGTACCCTGCTTCTGGAAATGTCAAATTCCGTGAGACTGTTGTTGCAATCCGCGCTCACAACGTAGGGGGTGGAATATCTGGACCCGTCGAACACTCACCGCAGTGTACCGTACAAGCATTGACCTGGACTCTGTAAACAACAACATTCTTTGAAAAGTTTGAAGTGCTCCAGACCTTGATGACCCTTCACCTGTCACACCGAACCACCTGTTGTATGTTTGTCAGATTTTTCTTGAAACTTTTGGGTAAAGCTTGCCTCACCTCGGACTATTGAAAGGCTGGTATGAAGGCGAGCCTGAAAGGAATTAGTACCTTAAGCTCAGCTGCTTCAGGACTAATATCAATGGGTAGGGCTGCATGGAACGTTGCAAAGAAGGTCCTAACTTGATCATGAAATGTTTCTTTAATCCTGACGTTTAGGGTACTGCTGTATCTATACTACCGAAGTTGTGTCAAAGCCAGATGTTTGGGTCTGCCGTAAAACAAGCCGACAAAACAGCGGACAAGTCCTTTGCACACCAGCTACTACAGTGCGGTATTGTACAGTGCAATTTGGCTGAAGTGGGCAGCTCTGCAGACATGCTATTTCGTGATCTGATAAGCAACAACGGCAGCATTGTGAAGGCACTTTTTCTTTTCAGTACAGTCGTTGCTCACATTAGGACGTGGGCCCAATCGAGGTTGATTGCCTCGATCACACGCAATCAATAATTTGGAGAAAGCCTCGAGGCCAATTTCAGGCAATCGGGGGCAATCAGCTGATCGCGATCAACGGATCGCCCCAACTCGATCAGACCCAAATTTCACCCCGATCAGAGCCGATTTTCCTCGATCACAGGCGATCACTTGATTGCATATGATCGGGGCCCATAGCGATGCTTGCGAGTAGTTACATTGTTGCACTTTCAGGAAAACGAGGATTTTCGCGCGGTGACGTCTGGTCGCCAATCTCGCTGGAATGGGGACGAAAATGCAAGGGAAATATATCGCGCTTGCTGAGCAGGCGCTGAAAAGCTTCCACGATAAACATCTCTAGTCGGACGGCTCGGGCACTGCGATCACAAGCAACCCGATCAGATCCGACCTGATCAGATCAGTCGCAATCAAACTCGATTGGGCCCACGTCCTTATCCCGTGGGTCAGCACAATCAGAACAATAGTCACTCATGAACGTTTTTGCCCTTGAGTGACTATAAATCGAGCATTGCGGGAAGGTAGAGGGTAGAGTCACCCAATTGCGGAAGCCAACATCTACATTTCACAAACAAGGGTTGCCGTGTCATCGCGCCTGCTCTTCTTGACTCGCACTGTTCCCCCTCGTCCGGAGGTCGTTGATGCTTTCTGGAAGAGTGCTTCGATAAAAATTTCCCGCCAGACACTTAGGACTTCAGCCCTAACAGGTCGCGCATGGCTCACGTGCAGCTGCACCTCCTGGCTCGTTTGGGTGGGATCGGGATTCCGCCTGCTGTCAGGCAGGAATTGCCGAGTTTGGGGCTCTGCACCACAAATCCCCCCTTTCAGCTTTTCCCAGCGCAGCAGCGTCGATTGGCAGTTGAAGCACTCCAATCCCTGCAGCGCATGGCCCATGATGATGCTACCTTGGCCCTTTTGACTTCCCTCCAGGGCTCGGGTGCAGCAGCATGTGCGGAGAGTCACTCTACAATAGTCGTGAGCTATACTACGGGGGTTGGCACGAACTCTAGGAATGATAGTAGATTTGCCTGTGTTCGTTAGCACTTGTGCATTCACGGGAGAAATCGGAAAGAGTTTCCACTACCAAAGTTTGCATTTCCAAAAGATAGCAATGACAATAACAAGAATGACTACATCAGGCACCTAGAAACTCTGCAGCTAGCCTGGTCGACCGCCAGCACAGCTTGGTCGACCGCCTGCCAGCGTTGCATAGAGGAGTCGCGCCAGCACTGCAAAAAGGCGGCCTGCCAACACAGCAGGTCGACGGTGTGCCAACGCTGCAAGAGAGCGGCTGTCCAGCGTTGCACCCGTAGATGGCAGTAGTGCGCACGCTCGCAGGTGCGTGCAGACGATTGGTCCGACTTACATCGTTGTGCATCCGTCGGCCCTGGTATGCGCCTGACGAGCCACATAGACTTTGGGATACCAGGCCGAAGTTGCCTTCGCCATCGCGACCTCGACGACGTTCGCGTGCCTTCACAGAACTCGCCGAGCAGGTTACCAGGTCGACCACCTAGTGCTCTGTTCGACGCCTCCCTCGTCAACCACTACTCCCGTCGAGGAACACCCTGGTCGACGGACCCCTCCGTCGACCAACACTGTCAGCTGCTGTCTCCGAGCTCCCCTCGTCCACTGCCGCTTACATGTCCTACACAGGTCGTCAGACTGCTCCGTCCACCTCCCCGTCGAACTGCTCCTCCTGGTCAACGGCCCGTCCGTCGACGAGCCCAGTCAGCTGCAGCCGTCGAGCTCCCCTGGTCGATGGCTCCAGCTGCGCGTCAGACTTGTGCGGGTCGATGACCACCCCATCGACCTGCCCTGCAGAAGAAGGTCGTCGAGCTCCCTGGTCGACGGAAATACCGCAGCGATCCCCTGTAGCCGTTAACACTCCCCTGCCGTGCTCACGCTTGGGCTCCCCAACCCATACGGCAGTACTCCATGGAGAAAACTCGTCCTCAGCGTGCACCCCACACATAGCACGCCGTCACCGCACCAGCCGTGCAGAAGGGCACGGCACCTACTGCTGAACCTCGTCGTCATTGTCGCCGACGTCAGCCAGGCGCACTTGCCGATCGCGACAGAGCACCGGTTGAAGGCCGGAAAATGCAGCGCATTCGTCAAGAAGTCGGCCGGCTGCTCGGTGGTCGGGATGTATTTCAGCACGAACTTCCCGCGCCTCACCATGTGCTGCAGCCAGGCGTAGCGTCGCTCCATGTGCTTGAGGTTGCCCGTCAGCTCCAATCCCTTAGCGACCATGATGGCCGACTTGTTGTCCACACGGAGGACAATCAGTTTCCCAGCGTCGACCTGTTGGAACTCTGCAAGGAGGAAGCGGAGTCGGCGTCCCTCCTTGCCATCATCCGTGGCCGCTACGTACTCCGACTCGGTCGTCGACAGCGTCGCGCACTTAATGCGCGAGCTCGACCAGGAGACCGCGGCCCCTCCATAGACAAACGCGTAGCCGCCCGTGCTCGTCCGGTTCTGCTTGTCGCCCGCGTCTTCGGCATCCACGTAGCCGATCAGCTCCAGCGACTCCGGTCCACCGCCGAACTCCAGAGCGGTGTCGCAGGTGTCAGCGAGGTAGGCGAGGCAGCGGTCGACCTCGCGCAAGTGCTGGTCGCTCCTCACCATGAGGCCGCTCCCCAGTTTGCTGCAGGCGAACGCGATGTCCGGCCTCGAACTGCAGTAAGCCAACTTTCTGTCGGTACTCCTCCTATTCGCGCTCCTGCACCTCCTCATCTTTGAATGTCAGCTCGGCGTAGGCGTCGACCGATACCGACGTCTTCGGGATCCGACCGCCTTGCTCCTCGTCGATGAAGCGCCTACACAGCTTGTCGGCATAGCCCTGCTGGTGCAGCCACAGCTTCCTCGCCGGCCTGTCGCGCACGATCTCCAGCCCGAGGTACTTGATGACCAACGGGATCTCACGCAGCTCAAAGGTGGCCTCCATCAGCTCCTTCAGCTCCTTCAGCATCGCGGTGCTGCTGCTGGCAGCGAGAAGGTCGACGACGTAGACCACCAAGCAGGTCACTCCGTCATTGCCTACCTTGAAGTAGAGCGCCGTGTCGACCTGGCTCTTCTTCCAGCCAGCGCCCAGCAGCACGCCGTCGAGAGCCCTGTACCACAGCAACGGCGACTGCTTCAGCCCGTAGAGGCTCTTCAGCAGCTTGCACACCCGGCCGGTCCTGTCGTCGAAGTAGTCCGGCTGGTACATATACAGCACGCGGTCGAGCTTATTCTACAGGAAAGCGTTCTCCATGTCGAGGTGCATCAGGTTGAGGTTGAGGACGGCGATGCTGAGGAAGATCCTCAGCGTGATGTAGCTGCTCACCGGCGAGTACGTCTCGTCGTATTCGGCGCCATACATCTGCATGAAGAGCCTCGCCTTCTTGCACTCGACGGTGGACTTCTGCTGCTGCCTCTTGTTCGGCCGGCTCCCCTGTCTGCTGCTCCCATGTTGTCGACGGCTTCCCGTCCTTGTCGACAAGCTTGGCGCCTTGTCGACCACCGGCGATGCCACTGGCCGGCATCACAGGTGACGCCTCAAGGCTCCCCTCATCGCCGGTGGCCGACACAGGTGTCGACGCAGTCCGATTTGCGACGGGGGTGGGAGGAGCAAGAACATGTGGAGGAGGAAGAACTTCCTCGACGTCCTCATCAGCAGGCTCG